TGGCTGGGGGATTCTGGGAGTTGAAGTCCACCCATCTTAAAGTCGCCAAGGTTGAGAAACATTGTTTTATGGATTGGGTGGCCTCTGTTCACATGTGCTAAGCTTGGTTAGCATTAACCTTGGCTAGTCTTGTTGTTTTACTTATCAGGTTGCACAAACTTATCCCTCTGGAATAGTTTATGGATATCAACCCACAAAATGGGTTAATTTAGTCACCAGGTTAAGGGTGTTATGGCAATTCAATACAGGAATGCGGTCTTTTCATTCCTAGCATCTTTCAAAAGTGTTATTTCGGGAACTGATACGAAACTCTCCCTTGCAGAATATCAACCTATGATCTGTTCTGTGCATTCTTTTAGCACAGTATTCAATCTCTACCTTCATCCCTGTCCATCTATAGCTGTCCATTTCCCCCAGCAGTTACTATTTCGAGGCCTAAAGAATGCAATTAAGATGCACGTCGCTTGCTTGGTTAAGCAAACTGTGTGAGGGTTTGAATCCCAGCCTCACCACAGAGACTCTTCTGGCATCTCCTGGGCATTCAAAAAAAAAGAGGTACAGCTCCAGCTGAGTCTGCTGAGTCTGAAAACCTAAGCAGGGTTGGCCCTGGTTCATCCTCGGATGGGAGACCAGAGCACAGGCTGGACTGGGAAGGCCACGGCAGAAGGATTCAGGATTGAGAAACCAAGATGGTTTTAATGCCTGGAATTAAGAGTGTCGCAGCTGCTCTTGCTTGGAGATGCTTTGAAGTGGAAATGGCTCTTGCTCTGTGATCTTTGGCATGCAACGCCTGCCTCTTGCATTTCTTAGAAAGATGCTTTTCCTGCTGGCCCCCAGATGACTCTCTGCTCCGCAGAGGTGAGCGGCCATGCCACGTTCTCCTCTCGGCCCACCAAACTGCCATCTGTTCTCGTCTCCCAGAGAGAAGAGCCGATCTTCTAATTTCCACTTTCTCTCAGATTCTTCTATGGGTCACAGTATCCAGCTTGATGTATTCTTTTAAAATACATCCTGAAGTTTCTATGCAAGTCTGGTCCAAATTTCTCCACATCTGTGCATTTTTGTTTGCAGTTCTGCCAGAAGTAGATGCTCTTCGAAAACAATTTCCCCTAACAGAAGGCATATAAATACGGTACATTACTTTTATGATGTCTATGTTTTTGTACATCTTGTCCCTGAATATATTTTTTTGTTCTTGATAACCTTGATCAATACTGCTCTTCTGCACAACTGCAAGTATTTAAGCACGTTAGCTTGTTTTATAACAGGAGAAAATAATGTGTCAATACAGTTCTGTTTTGAAATGATTTTGTGTCTTTCAGGATTCTGCGTTCTGCTCAATTGCGCTGTAACCTATGGGTGGGCATTCTCCAGTGCTCAGTCACATTCTGGCTTAGTAAACTAAGTTTGCAAAGTCAGCATGCTTTGCAAATGAGACCACGGCCCTACAGGTTCCTGTTTCTGCAACAACAAATGCAGAGATGTTCTGGACGTTGGGTTGGCAACACAAGCATCAGCTTGGTGGTTGCCGCAACCCCCTCTCCATTTGCGCGCGTGGCTCTGTGACATTCCTGTGGCTTGCTCTCTGTAATTGTCCTGGCCTTCTCCAATGGCTGTTTCCAGAGTCACCCTGCCTGGTCCTTCCTTGGGGCTGTTTCTATGACTTCCCATCATGGTCCTCAGATGCCAGAATTCTCCTCTTGCTTCCCTGCTTTCCCCCAAGACCATGCTGGGGTAGAGGCATCACTGCTTCTTCTCAGCGGACAGCTTGGATATGTTCCTGGCTATCTTGGTGAGGAGCTGACTGGGAATGAGGATCGGGTTAATGCGATGGCCGCAGTGTCGAAACACTTCCTCCATACACTCCACAGCAACCTTGGCCACAGAAGCTTCGCAATCGCCCTGAAGGTCCCAGAGCGCTGAAATGATAAAAGAGAATTCATACTTCCTGAAAGCTACCTTGAAACCAACCGTGATAAGCTACAGAGCGTATGCAGAACCATCCCTGGTTCAACCTCATGAACTTTTTTACTCACCCAGATAAGCATCTTCAACTTCTTTCGCGGTGACTACATCTGGTTTCATGTACTGGGCACTGCATGCTTGACAGATGAAGAGAGAAAAAACTCAATTTGTGCCTCTGATCCTTGTTTCAACCACCCACATCCCAACCTCCATTGAGGCAATAGCAGTTTTTTAAAAAAAGGCTGGGAAAATCAAGAGGTCCTGCAAAGGGGCAATATCTAGCCAACCTTGGTTGAGATTTGGATTCTGTATCATTGTTGGGTTTTATTTGGTGAGCCTCCCAGAGTCAATTTGAGTTGGGCAGTGTCCAAGTCAAATAAATAATAATTAATCATCATCATCTTGAAAAAAAGCGAAGCAGAGGTGGACCCAATTAATACTTGGGAGATCCTGTGGTAATCCTGGGACTACAGGCAAGACTGGGAAGTTGAAAACATTTCCAGAAGACAAACCACTTCTGTGTTGTTGCCTATATAACTGAGAGAGATGTCCATGTTTGGCTGGCTACCCATTCAACACAAGGGGGATGTTATTTTTTAATAAATTGGGCCAATGTAGGGAGGGAAGGAGCGAGGGACTGGAAATCATAGCAAGGGAGAAGGCACCTGATAACCAGAAGTGCCAGGTGTCCCCATTGTTCAGATCAGCAAGAAGCTGATAGGAATTATGGAGAATCAGCTGGTCAGTCATGGCATAACATCAGCTTCCAATCTGATGCGATGTTGCTTAATTCTCTACTTTTTGATTGTAATTGCCAGCATGCATTGCATTAGGCTGAACATCTGTCTTGGCTTTCCATCCCCTTCTCCAGGAGTTGCATTTGTAATTACCAATTAATATGGCAGCTGCCTCTCGATAGCAGGCATTCTTGCTCTTCAGATAACTCGTCATCTGAGTTAGCATTGTGGGAAACCTTTGCTTGTATTTCAGTGCCTGGGGAAAAGAAGCAACAAACAGGCCATAGACTGTAGCTTCCTCTTTCACAAAGGGTGATGCTTCTAGTCCTTTTTTTAAAAAAATAATTCTTATGGAAGAAATGTTTAACGAAGTAAAAACCATGAAATGATAAAGAAAAAAGTAAACAAAGGAAATAGAAAAAGAAATAGAAATAGAAAAGAAAAGAAAAGGAGAAGAAAGGAAACGAAAAGGAAAAGAAAGTTTATAACGAAGTGGCTTCTGATCTTCTCGACAGCAGTTATAGATACATTTATATTTTGTCCTCTCTCTCTCAAGTTACTCATAATTACCTTCTTTCCAAAAGCTACCCTTTCTAATCCTCAAACCCATAAACCGGTAAGGTTTCTAGTCCTCATGGTTTCATGGAACCCCTGTTGTTCCTGAGAGAGCAGAAATCCAAGGAGAATCCCTCTAGTCAATGTCCTCCAGCCTGGAGCAAAATAATCAACTTTGGGTCATACTCACAATGAACTGGCAGATGTTTAAGTACAAGTTGTTGAGACTGGCATGTATTTCATAATCAAACAGGTTTTTGGGCATGTCCATCCAGTTCATGTAGGAGGCACAGGTGTTGAGTGTATTCCTGGAGACCTAGACCGTGGGATGAAAGATGGAGTCAGAGAGTTCTGATGCTGGTTTTGTACATGCTCTGCAGAAGAAATCCACCTGTTCTCCTAGCTCAGCAGGGGGGAACTTTGATAAGCTAACCGAGGACTAAGAGGTGTCAGTGCAAGGGGGACAGTGATGGCCATCCAGTCTCTGTCCTGAAAGAAGACATCTCTCAGCATCTGTAACAGGATGGTGGAAGAGCCAATCAGGTGCCAAATCTCTCTATTTTAGCAGAAGCAAAGCTGTAGAACAGAGAGAGGACTCTCCATCAATCCTGGGTAGCAGATCTGAGAACTGATGGGACTTGCAGCTTGGTAGCACCAGAAGGGCCACCCGTTGCCTCTTATTATCATAGAAGGATATAGTTAAATGCTCGAGATGCTATCTGGAGAACAGAACAGAACTGCTGGATCAGGCTAAGACCGATCTTGATTCAGGGTTCTGTCCCTCACAGTGGCCAACCAGATGCCTCTGGAGAGCTTGCAAACAGAAGATGGAGACCTACTCTTCCTCCTACAACTGGTATCTGGAGACAGTCTGATATCTGCAGATCACATAGAGAATGCGAACAAGGCTGGAAAGCCACAGAGAAAGGAGATTTTTAAAAAAACAAGTTCTCCAATGAATCTGACTTGGAGACCAAACAGAGCTCAACCCATTCAAGGTCAGTAGATATATACCTGCTTTGTAGTATCCAAAGCCTTCCCCAACCAAACTTCCTTCAGGTGTGTTAGCTCCCATCATCCTCAGTGGTGGTAAGGGATGATGTGAGATGTAGTCTAATAATATCTGGAGGCAGCCAGATGGGAAAGACTCCCATCGTACAATTTGTAGCTCTCATAGGGAAATTCTGTAACACGTGGACAATTTTCGGGTCTACAACAGGCAGCTTTAGGATTATCCAGAACCCCTTTGCATTATCAGGAGTATCCACATGATAGGACAACATTGCCCTGGGTTGGGATGGGGCGCAGGGAGATACCATGAAGGAAGTCGTATGCACAGACCATGAGCTGTAGGTTACCCAGCCCTTCAACTCACTTCTCTGGTGCAACTATCTGCGAGCTGGATAAAGAGAGGAACAAGATTTCGAAGGATGTCTTCCATCATGATGCCTCTTTGTGCCTCTCTCACTCCTTTCAAGAGTGTCCCAAATAGAACGATGGAGGAATATCGCAGTTCACTGTCTTCCTAAGAAGGAAGAGAAGCACATTAGTCACTCCAACAGCAGAGAATCTATGTAGCTCAGGGCCAAACTGTTGGGTTCTTGGTGTGATCTGAACTTGGTGGTTCTCCTGAAGACGTTTTGTTATGGTGACAGGAAAACAACCAAGTTCAGACAACATCAGGAACCCAACAGGTTAGTCACTCTCATATTTTGGTCAGGAAAATCTTGCCATAGTTTTCAGGACTTTCAGTTGAATGAATCCTTCTGCTGCTCTAAGGAACCTTCTCCAATCTGATATCTTCCAGATAGTTAGACTGCAACATTCTTCGTTATCCTAGGTTGGATGGAAATTATAAACCAGGAGAACTGAAGGGCATCAGTGTGACTTTAATTCAAAATGGGATGAACGTGGGCTCCTCAAGTGAATGCTGTCATGACTGGCAGCTCATCTGGGACTAACTTGTCTCAGCAAATTTTGGGAAATCCTCAGGGCAACCCAATGGTTGTGGTTGCCACCTTGACTCTTTTAACCCCTCCCCCATAGATACCCCTGGCCTTGCTATTAGGAAAGTTTTTTTTTCTTTTTCCTAGCATTCAACAAGAAGCTGACTTCCCATAACTTAACTCCATTATTTTGTGTCCTGCAAATTGCGTAATTGACAATTCCATGCTAACTACTGGCAATTGCTGTGAAGTGCTTATAGATCAACCTCTATGATAGACCAGTGTTTCTCAACCTCAGCAACTTTAAGATGTGTGGACTTCAACTTCCAGAATTCCCCAGCCAGCAGAGTTGAAATCCACTCATCTTAAAGTTGCTGACATTGAGAAACACTGATCCAGACTCTTTCCAGATATCAATACCAGATGGACTGGTGTGTGGTTTGCTGGAGCTGAAGGTAGTGATTACTTCATTCTCTTCCAGTCATCTGGCACTTCACCAGTTCTGTAGGATTGCTCAAAGATAATTTGAAAGCTTACGCACTGCTTTATATGACCATAACATAGTTATTGCTGAACTATTTCTAAGCATTCCTGACAAAATTAGAATTCTACAGATGGTCTCCAGGCCATATTTCTGGGAGAAAAAAAGAAATAGAAAAAGAGAGAGGATCAATTTGTCGTGATTTGGTTGACTTACATCACTGAAATACTTCAAGAGGTGTGGGATAAGAGTGGTTGCCTTGTATCCATAGATCTCAGCATCCAGATGTCGGAATGCATATTGAAGAGTCTTGATAGATTCTCTGGCAACATTCTTGTCTTGTTCGCTAGCACAGTTTATCAGGGGAATCAAAACAGGCTCTAAAAACTCATTCTGGAGGAATCAGGGAGAGAAACAAGCAATTAAACATGGCCACTGCAGTTCTCTGTAGTATACACAAACACTTCAGCTTACCCAGTTAAACATACCATAATATGCACCATTCCAAGCACATAAACATATGCACTCCTTCTTTGGGGTTGGTTGTAACTATGAGGAATCAGGATAAGATGTATAAATAAAGAAAACCGTAATAATCAGCATTCCAAGTCAAAATGGTCCATCATCTCCAGATCTGCAAGGGGAGATCTTTGGCAAGCATCTGGAAATAAGAGGCTGGAGGATTTTCAGGTCAGCTCAGTATCTTCCTCATCACAGGAGTTTCAAGACAAATCAGATTTGCACTCGAAGCAAAGCCATAGGAATGCAGTGGCTGGGAAGGCCCCGTGTGAGTTGACTCACTGCAGTAATTTCTTCTCATTGTAGACCCATTAGGAGATCTCAACCAGAAGAGTCAGGCTTCTTCTTTAGACATTGTAAGGAACATCTAAGGATACTTTTTTGAGCCACAAAGTGCAGTAACTCTCACGGTCCATCCCTCTGTTTAGAGATTAATCTGGCTGTTTTTCTTAGGGATATACAAGAATTCTATTGTTGCAGGGAACAAAATTAGTCCTTGGTGGGGCGAATGCAGAGGTAGGCAGTGTGGTGCCCCTGGGTGCAATTTGTCTTCTCTTGTGTCCATCATCTCCTTATCCCACCTGACTTTTAAAAAAGATTATTTTTAAAAAATAAATAACCATGTTTGTTTGTTTGTTTGATTGATTATATGCCATTAAGTTGGTGTCAACTCTTAGCAATCATGATGATCTGTCCTTTACTTGGTCTTCCAACAGTGCACTCATCGCCACCGTAACAGAGTCCATCCACCGTGCTGCTGGTCATCCTCTTACCTCCCACCTTTCCCAGCATTAGAGCCTTCTCCAGAGAGCTAAACCTTAGCATAATGCATCCAAAGTAGTTTGAGCCTTGAGTGAGAATGATTCGTTTGATGGTTCGTTGGTTTGTTTTCTTGGCTGTGCATTGTCTTCTCAATAGCCTTCTCCAACACCAAACCTTAAAAGCGTCAATAGTCTTCCTGTCCTGCTTTTTCAAAGTCCAACTTTTGCTTTGATTGAGTGTCACAGGGAAAACCATGGCTTGCACAATTCTGATCTTTGCAGGTAGAGACACAACACAGCATCTGAATATCTTTTCCAAAACCACTTAGTTTTCTGCTTATTTACAGCAATGTATTTGGGCCCCACTGGGATGGGAGAGGGCACCTCAAGATGCTGCATGCCGTTTAGTGAATGAGTGCCTCACTATGCCATTTTCTGAATGTGCCCTACAACATGCTCTCACAAATGTGCTCCAGGTCCCAAGAGTCAAATTTCTGTCTAGGGCTAACTCAGGCAGGCATGAGGTCCACCTCATATTTGTCTCATTAAAGAACATGCTTCAAGTTTTATCTTTTTTAAAAAAAAATAACTACTTAATGCCATAAGCTTATGCCGTCAACGGCAGTGTAGGCCATTGATGAGGCTCTCTCTGTTTTCAGTGCCTCCTGAGCTGACCAGGTGACTTTACAACTCTAAGCCTTGTTCTATGCACATTACTGTTTGATTTTGATTACGTGCCATCCAGTTGGTGTTGACTCTTGATGACTGCATAGACGGATTTTCTCTAGGAGGATCTGGCCCCAGTCTGGTCCTTCAGATCTTCCAGGGGTGCACCCATCTCTGTAGGAGGTGCAGTGCTGTAGCTGAGTCCATCTCTGTGGCTGCTGGTGTTCCTCTTCTTCTCTTTCCTCCACCCTCCCAGCATTATAGACTTCCCAGATAGCAAGGTCTTTGCATTACTACACACACATTGCTACTACTTTGGGAAATCACTCACCTCCAGCACCCCATCTCTTACCTCAAGGGAGTGCTGCATTAGGTAACCCAGACCCCGAATGCTGAATGCTCGGAACGTGGGATAAGGTTGCATCAACCATTCGTGCAGAATTTCCAGGATGTCTTGCTTCATGAAGAAGAGTCCTATCTCACGGTGATAGAGAAGCTGAGAAACAAGAGTTGTGATGCTGAGTGTGAGCAAAGCAAAGGAAGGAGAAATCCCCCAAGAGTCCGTACTAAGATATTTCAAATTCAGCAATTAAGGGGAGAAGAAAAAAGAAAAGAGAAGAAACCCACTTAAAGATCTGGCAAAGTATGGCAAAAGTTAGAATAAATGATAGTTAGAAGTGTATAAAACTGCCCTCAATGCAAAGCAGAAGAAAAATTTGGGGATCATTATGAAACAGAACACCCTCCAAACATTTCATATGACAGAATTATATTGTCAATTACATATTAGTTGACTGTTTTATAATGGTACACATATAAATAATAGTTATTTCATAATATATTAAACTTACAAAAATGACCTTGTAGAAACACTATAGGAAGGGCATATTAGGGTAATCAGACTAAATATATGTATTTGTATTCAATAGAATATATGTATTCAGTCAGGCGAGTCCAGAGTAACAGCAACAGATACGAAGTCAGAAGAAGAAATAGTACATTTAGTTAATAAAAAGGTAATGCTTTTATTGTGTTATAGCAATGTTTCTCAACCTTGGGAACTTTAAGATGTGTGGACTTCAACTCCCAGCATTCCTTGCTGGCTGGGGAATTCTGGGAGTTGAAGTCCACACATCTTAAAGTTCCCAAGGCTGAGAAACACCGTTATATAGTTTTGAATGATACAATTCTGTTGAACTAAATTATCTAGTTACAGAGGCAAATTTATCAGCGAGTGTATCAGAACATCGATTTTGGCTTTATTCGGTTTATTGCGTTTCTTTCCGCAACGTTAAAAAATATTAAAAGCTAGTAGCCAATGTGGCCAATTCCACGTACATTTTAGCTTCAATTCAATTGGGTGTCATTAGTTTAATGACACCCAACTGAATCATTGGATTGCAAACCATCAGTGACAAAAGGTTAGAAATACAGGATGACGTATAATATAAAATAACAATATAGAAGCCAGCCACAATGATAGGCATGGCAATTAATTTAAATTTTACGGAAATATCTCTTCACGTTTTGAACCAAGACAGGAATCTGGCCATTTTCAGTCAATAAATAAAAGCTGTTTGATTAGATGGGTCACTGGGTCACCTAGCCCTCCAAATCAGGATAGAAAGTAAATAGTCGAGAGTGAGAAATGGGATGTCTACAGAGAAGGGTCAAAAAAGCCAAGATGGCAAGTGTGACTGTATGTTGGAGGCCCCATCCCTTTTAATGTGTAGTATATGTGCAATGCATGTAAAAATGTTTTCTCTTTCAGCCATACCAACACACTGGATTCATAAAATCCAGTTAAACCAAGTCATCCAAAGAGGCTTCAACTGCATAACTGGGTCAAACTTTATTAGTTTCAATCTTAGTTAGTTGTGTCTGAGCATGTTGGGTGAACTGAGTCTGCTTGGCTAATTTATGATTCCAGATACTGCACAAACTCAGAAAATTCGGTTAATTCGGGCCTTCTCGGCTGTGGCCCCCGCCCTTTGGAATATCCTGCCCCTGGAGGTGAGATTGGCCCCTTCGCTCCTGACCTTCTGGAGGGATTTGAAGACCTGGCTCTGCTACCTGGCCTGGGGTGGGGAGGGAAGGCATCAAGGGTGGGGATGGCTGGCCCCTTAGAAGCCTTTCGTCTGCAGCTCTGGTAACCATCAGCCTCTTGGGCTTTTCTTGTCTGGTAATGTTTTGTATAGGTTTTAAGTTTTATATATTTATTGTTTTAATGGATCATGTGAGTTGCCCAGAATCCCCCATTAGGGGGAGATGGGTGGAGATAAATCAAATCAATCAATCAATCAATCAATCAATCAATCAATCAATCAATCAATCCGTGATCAGACAAACGTGTTGTGTAAACCTAGCAAAGGCACAATGGCCCTTTAAAAGCAAAGATAAAAGGGATCATGATCTGGGCCAGCCAACTGGTACTCCATGAAGCTTAAATGGAGAAAGATGGCTTCATAAAGCCAAACAATTAGCCCTGCAGAGCTGGATTAGAAGGAGGGTCCCTGATTGTTATCCAGGCTAGCCAATCAGGGGGAAGAGAATGATGAAATGCTAAGGAAGAAAAATGGCAACTCAGTCCTGAGGGAAGTGTGAGTAAGAAACTCAAACTAAACCCACCTTAGTTTGGTTGGTATAAGCTGAGAAAGAAGGAAATGAACGAAGAGCAAGAATGAAGAGCATTCCTGAATTCTCCGCTGCTTCTGTTTCTTAACCTGGCCTACCTTGAAAGGCTGACAGGGGGAGGGGAGCTCCAGACTATTACAAGACCAGCTCATTGTCACATGAACAGCTGACTGAAGAGGTGGAAAGGAAGCCATTCCAGGTTTGTTGTCACATTATAGAAGATACCCTCATGCCTTCTCAGTTTTCAAGGTGGACCAAGCACAGCTCCCTGCCCCCCACTGGGAAACTCTTAAGTCTTGCCACTCTGAGCATTGCCCCTAGGCCTGTATGGTCTAGCCAATCCCAAGATCACAGTCTGCTCTTGACCATGTAGACCCAGCCTGGGTTCCTTTTCTAGACCTCCAGAGCAGTGTTTCTCAACCTTAGGAACTCTAAGATCTGTGGACTTCAACTCCCAGAATTCCCCAGCCTGGGGAATTCTGAGAGTTGGAGTCCACAGATCTTAGAGTTCCTAAGGTTGAGAAACACTGCTCCAGAGTGTTGGGGTGCACCATGACTTCCTGCTTACCTCAGTGAAGAATGCCATCCCAATGGTCCTCTCTTTTGAATCAGGACGGCGCAAGTACGTGTTGGCCTGTTTGAACATCATCTTGAGGTGCAGTTTGGAAAACATAAACAAGGTCCTGAAAGATCAAATATTGAGGAATCAGACAAGGTCTGCTGGTTAGTGAGAAGAGCCACCAAGGTCGAGAGAGCAATGTTTGAATTATCGGCAGAGGGATTTAATGAATTACTCAGTTTAGAGAATTACTGTGGCTGCCCATCTTAAATTTAAACCCTGGGCGGTTGATAAATAAATAAATAAAACCTCAAAACGCAAATCCAAACAAAGTTAAAAATAACCATATGGATATTTAATGTGGATAAAAATAACCATATAGGTGTTTAATATCCTTGTGGATAGTCTGGAGGTTGAATCATGGCAACTGGACTTCTTTTCTTTTTGGTTAGTCTGTACGATAGGTGGTTTGAGAGAGGAGTGAAGGAATCCATTTATGCCAAAGTGGAAAATCCTTCCC